CCCCTCAAAGGTGCGTGCTCAGCCCCCTCCTGTACTTCCTGTTCACTCATGACTGCGTGGCCAAGCACGCCTCCAACAGCCTCAAACAGCAGAGGGTGCACCCCCCCCCTATCCACATCTACAGGACCGCAGTGGAGAAGGTGGAAAGCTTCAAGTTCCTTGGCGTACACATCACTGACAAACTGAAATGGTCCACCCACGCAGACAGTGTGGTGAAGAAGGCCCAACAGAGCCTCAGGAGTCTGAAGAAATTTGTCTTGGCACCTAAAACCCTCACAAACCTTTACAGATGCACAATTGAGAGCATCCTGTTGGGCTGTTTCACTGCCTGGTACGGCAACTGCACCGCCCGTAACCGCAGGGCTCTCCAGAGGGTGGCAAACTACCCGCCCTCCAGGACACCTACAGCACCCGATGTCACAGGAAGGCCAAAAAGATAATCATGGACATCAACCACCCGAGCCACTGCCTGTTAACCCCGCTATCATCCAGAAGGCAAAGTCAGTACAGGGGCATCAAACCTGGGACCGAGAGACTGAAAAACAGCTTCTATCTCAAGGCCATCAGACTGTTAAATAGCCATCACTAGCACATTAGAGGCTGCTGCTGCCTATTGAAATCACTGGCCACTTTAAGAAATGGAACACTAGTCACTTTCATAATATTTACATATCTTGCATTACTCATCTCATATGTATATACTGTATTCTATAATGTTCTACTGTATCTTAGTCCATGCCACTCTGTCATTGCACGTACATATATGTATATATTCTTAATTCCATTCCTTACTTAGATTTGTGTGTATTCGGTATATGTTGTGAAATTGTTAGGTATTACTTGTTAGATATTAGTGCACTGTCGGAGCTAGAAGCACAAGCATTTCGCTACACCCGCTATAACATTTGCTAAACACGTGTATGTGACAAATAAAATATGATTTGATTTGATGGTCTGGTCACTATGTAAAGGTTGAGGGTTATGCCATATTTCTTTCTATTAGGCTAGATATTGTTCTAAATGTAATCTCTGTGCCTGTCCACATGTATGCATGTTCAACTAGTCTACGCTAATGTTAAGTTGGAAAGGGATTTGACAGTTCCTTTCGGATCGTTACATATTCTATCCCAAAAAAGAGCCAATGATACAGATATTCAGGGAATCAATCCAATTCTAGGCCATTCTACGGCAGTGTGGTTGTCAATACATAAAAGGATCAAAAAGTCTCCTCATAGACAAAGATATGCTTCTGTATGGTGGAATCCTGCTATTTGTGTGGGGAAGCAGTCGATAATTTGGGAAAAATGGGTAAGACAAGGGGTTTATACTCTGGGAGACCTGCACAAGAATTAGGTATTTTTGTCATGTGAAGAAAATTGGGAATAAGTACAAACTTTGTGATAATGATGTATGGAAATACAATACCAGTCAAAAGTTTGGACACACCTACTCATTCAAGGGTTTTTCTTTATTTTCTATTATTTTTTACATTGTATATTAATAGTGAAGACATCAAAACTATGAAATAACACATATGAAATCATGTAGTAACCAAAAAAGTGTTAAACAAATCAAAATATATTTTATATTTGAGAATCTTCAAATAACCACCCTTTGCCTTGATGACAGCTTTGCACACTCTTGGCATTCTCTCAACCAGCTTCACCTGGAATGCTTTTCCAACAGTCTTGAAGGAGTTCCCACATATGCTGAGCACTTGTTGGCTGCTTTTCCTTCACTCTGCGGTCCGACTCATCCCAAACTATCTCAATTGGGTTGAGGTCGGGGGATTGTGGAGGCCAGGTCATCTGATGCAGCACTCCATCACTCTCCTTCTTGGTCAAATAGCCCTTACACAGCCTGGAGATGTGTTGGGTCATTGTCCTGTTGAAAAACAAATGATAGTCCCACTAAGCCCAAACCACATTGGATGGCGTATCGCTGTAGAATGCTGTGGTAGACATGCTGGTTAAGAGTGCCTTGAATTCTAAATATCGGACAGTGTCACCAGCTAAGCACCCCCACACCATAACACCTCCTCCACCATGCTTTACGGTGGGAAATACACATGTGGAGATCATCCGTTCACCCACACCGCGTCTCACAAAGACACGGCGGTTGGAACCAAAAATCTTCAATTTGGACGCCAGACCAAAGGACACATTTCCACCGGTCTAATGTCCATTGCTCGTGTTTCTTGGCCCAAGCAGGTCTCTTCTTATTATTGCTGTCCTTTAGTAGTGGTTTCTTTGCAGCAATTCGACCATGGCGGCCTGATTCACACAGTCCCCTCTGAACAGTTGATGTTGAGATGTGTCTGTTACTTGAACTCTGTGAAGCATTTATTTCGGCTGCCATTTCTGAGGCTGGTAACTCTAATGAACTTATCCTCTGCAGCAGAGTTAACTCTGGGTCTTCCATTCCTGTCACGGTCCTCATGAGAGCCAGTTTCATCGTAGCGCATGATGGTTTTTGCGACTGCACTTGAAGAAACGTTTAAAGTTCTTGAAATGTTCCGTATTGACTGACCTTCATGTCTTAAAGTAATGATGGACTGTCGTTTCTCTTTGCTTCCCCCCCTACCTTGTCACACCACAAATGATTGGCTCAAACGCATTAAGAAGGAAAGAAATTCCACAAATTAACTTTTAAGAAGGCACACCTAATGAAGCTGGTTGAGAGAATGCCAAGAGTGTGCAAAGCTGTCATCAAGGCAAAGGGTGGATATTTGAAGAATCTCTAATATAAAATATATTTTGATTTGTTTAACACTTTTTTGGTTACTACATGATTCCATATGTGTTATTTCATAGTTTTGATGTCTTCACTATTATTCTACAATGTAGCAAATAGTAAAAATAAAGAAAAACCCTTTAATGAGTAGGTGTCCAAACTTTTGATTGGTACTGTACATTTTATGGACACAGTCAATTTTACAATAGTTATATTTTGTTTGTTTTTACTCCTGAACTTCCTCTACCCTCTACCAAATGTTTTGATTGAAAACAAACATCTTACCTGTTAAGTGCAGTGAATACCCATATGGAATTTGAATGTTTTCCTCATAACCAAATAATATGTCAAACTGATGCTAAATATAACAGCCAGATGCTCTCTTAATTCTACCCAGATGAGTTTCAGGAGTCTGGGGTGCAGGCTTCAAACCTGTAGCTGATGAGAGTCAAAGTGGTTCAATTCCTCCTTCTGGGCAATAATGAAAATATGTCTGCTTTCCTCAGAGAAAAAAATAAATAAAAAATTGGCTAGATGCTTATGGAAAACAGCCGAAGTGGAATGAATTGCCAACAATAACAGAACTGTTGTAAAATGAACTTCAATCTAAAAAGCAATTATCACATTCCCTTTTCAAAGCAAAAATAAATAAATAAAAATAACCAGTCTTCACACAAGTTGTACAACAAACACTATTAGACACAGTCAAGATTGCATTTGTGTAACAACAGCAGACGTGAGATGCATCAATACAAGACATGTAGCCTACCTCAGTTACCTCACACTGTATCCACATATATGATATGGGTTCAGCGATGTCTATCTCTCACAGTTCAACAGGCGCACATAATACTGTATATATAAATGCAGATGCCAAGTTGGCAGTGAGGGATTTAGGTCTCCACTGATGAAAACATTAATAATGAGACACAGTGTGCTGACACTGGGAACACCATGCTCTCCTTAAATACATACAGGAGGAGCAGCCAGGGTTTTAGACCCTCCACAGATACACCCTTTTCCCTGCCATTGTCCGCTCTGAAAAGAGGAGCATGTTTATCAAACACAAAGCCCAGAGTTGAGAAGAGGGTCTGGTGAGCAGCAGAATAAATTCATACACACACCGTCCCAATAGGTGTAATTGTGGTCAGAAAGAGGAAGGCTAAGCATACGCGCGCGCACACACACACACACACACACACACACACACACACACACACACACACACAAAGGGGGAATCGCTATAGCCTCTACTCTTGATGTCAGTATCAGAACTAACTTTACTTTTTGGAGTAACTCCACTTTCTCCTTTATAGAGAAATTCTAACTTCAAATTTGTATATAGAGACTCCTAACTTTTTTTCACACTCTTCTATCACTGAATATTGAATTATGTTTCCTATCTACTGTTCCTCTGGGCAACACAATGCAGACAATCTCAGTCTGAGTTGTGAGGGGAGGCTAAATGCCTGAAGGGAGAGAACAAAAGACTGCTGTAAATGAAAGCTCATCCACTACATAATGAGGACATACAAAAGAAGACTGCCTTGAGGTCCAACTGAAAAGCCTTTTTCAAAGGAATAAAATGTGTGTGATTATATACAGTAGTTATGTGGCAATAACCAAATCCAGTCTCAGCTTACATCTGCTTGCTTCTGTCCAGATCTTTTACTCTGATTTCACAATTCATTTGTGGTTTCCTGTTTCCTGAGGGACATGTTGTTTTATCTGAAGCCTGAAGAAGCTAAGCCTACAGCTCTCATCTCTGCAGCGTTGGACGGAAACCCGCTTCTATGTGACGTCAATTAAACCAAGGTAGCTACCCACACACTTCAGCTCTGACGCAAGTGTCCTTTTTTTGGATACTTGCGTTAGCAAGACCTTTTTCTAATCACCACATGGCATACATGGAATCAGTTGACCATATTTGCAATTTCCATGATGTGTTCAGAGTTTTTCAGACATTGTATTATCACCGAGGTACGTGATCTAGAATGTATCTCAATTGGCTATAAATAAGTTTCAGTCTTCACAGTCGCACCTGTCTCGGTCTCACCGTGCGCCTGGATGATGAAGTGCGCATCCAGGCAGAACGATAGATTTCAACAGTATCGCTTCATACAATCTAGTCTTTCCATTGGAAAATTAACTAGCAACCGGCGTCTAAATAAGTAATGTTTTGTCCACTGCATTGTGAGTGTTTGTTGGCTCGTGGAACAAGTTATCGATGCGCAAATAACTCACTAACGGCGCCAACAGAACGGACCATGCATCAGAACCACTCCACGGACCACGGGACCACTCTCCGTGGCGGGAAAAGGGCTCAGCTCGAGCTCTCCCCCGATGCCATCAATAGTTGGACATCCTCAAAATCCCAACAGGTATTCGCATGCCTTTTCTACCTAAATTAAAAGTACGCGTTTGCTTCAAATAGCCTACATTGTGAAGAAATACCATATATAGCCTATATTGATTCGGTGATTAATTATGATAAAATGGAAGTAAAGTGTAGGCAAGGCAATGTTTTTTGTTCTAAGTAATGAGTAGTACTTCTTGGAAACAAGCTAGATACTGAGGCAGCCATAGCCTACCACTTTATAATGCAAAAGCTAGTGTAGCCTACTGTTTTTCAGTAGTTATTTTTCTCTCCCTTACCAGTATCCTGCCAAAACGCAGCTACCCAGCAGTTCCTTCATCCCCACCATCAATGCCATCACGTCCAGTCAGGAGCTGCAGTGGATGATCCAGCCAGCCGTCCTAGCCTCCAAGCCTGGCCACTACCTACGCTCTCACCCCTACCACCCCCTGGACATCAGCAGTAGCCTGGGGCCTGGGAGCCACACAAGGCTCGGGGTAATACGGACAGTGGGCAACACGCATGGAAGGAGCAGGCGGAGTGATCAGGTAACAGTCAGCAGGCACACTGTACAGTAAGACCGAGAGGCTTTGACTAAGGGATATGGATATGCTGTTAATATTGTGGATATATTAATTATAAAATATTGTTATTGCAATATACTGTATTTCACAGTAGATCAAAATATAAATATATTCATACTGCAATATATTTTATTTCTCTAAGTAGCCTATAGCAGTTTCCCAAACTGTGGGGCAGAGGGGTTGGAAGGGGGGGCGGGGGTCCCCCCCCCCAAAAAAAAATATGATTATTATTATTTTTATATATTTCAAAGGAACTAGGTCCGGCTTTAAACTTACTCTTGAAAGTTGTAATAGTAGAATGCACAAGCTGCAATTTCGAAATTGGGTAGTGCATCATCAGTTCCTCTTCTCATGTTAGTCATTGCGTACCTTAGAGAGCTTTTTATAACTTGTCAGAAATGTCCAGATCAACTAGCCCATGTCAGCTAACGTTTTTTATTTAGGTTTTTAGCCCATAGATATTGTTGTATTTTTTTTTTTCACTCTAATATCACATGAATACACATTAGACATGGCAAAATGTATAGAATTGCAAAAATAATTGCTCTATAACTGCAAAATGTTCTTTGCATCCCATGACAAAATGTGTAGAATTTCAGGAAATAAGCTTACAACCTGCAAAATTCTCTCCACCAACAAGGAGTGGGAACAGTTTGTGTCATGAACAGTGCTTGTGCTCATAGAAATAGACATGGCGTATAGTATCTCTCTCATGTAATAGTTGACCGTTTTTATTCAAATGAATGGCATACCCAGCCGAATGCTGTTTCTCACTGTTTTCCATCAACAGTTGAACCCAGCTGAAGAGGAGAGGAGAAGGTTGAGGAGAGAGAGGAACAAGATGGCTGCTGCCAAGTGTCGCAACCACAGGAAGGAGCTGACCAACCAACTGCAAGGAGTGAGTCCAAACAGAGAGAATGACCAGTCAGTCAATACTGTAGCTCTACCTACCTACTGTTTTGTAAGTATAGATGGATGTTGATGGTTATGAACTATGAACTCTGTTGTCTGTCATATAAGGAGACTGATGAACTGGAGAAAGCGCAGGCCAGCTTGAAGACCCAGGTTGAGAGGCTCCAGGAGGAGAGAGAGAAGCTGGAGCGCATGCTGGTGTCGCATGCCCCAGTGTGTCGACTGGGCTGTGACGGCCATCCCCAGGCCCAGCCACTGCCCCCTCTCGCCCTGACCATGTACCCCACAGCCACCTCCCCCCTGGCCCAACCCCTGAGCCCCCCTCCCGCGGTAAAGCAGGAGCCCCAGGAGGAGATGCTGTTCTCCTTTCACCACCATGAACACTGCGCCATCAAACCCACCTATTGCCATGTAGAAGAGTACTGTCCCAGTGTTGACTGCTTCACCACCCCATCCACGGTGAGCTGCAGCCCGGCCCATGTTGTGGATCTATCCTGTCCCATGCTGTCTCACCACCACCCCAGCCAGGGTGAGCAGGATAGGTCTGAGTCCTCATTCCGGGAAGAGGCCCTTCCCAACGACTTGCTCTCCAAGCCTCTCCCTGGCAGTGACATTAGTCTTGAGGATGGACTACTGGGACCAAGATTCTCCCCCACCTTGTTGACTCTGTAGGGCAATGATTTACACTAAAGTGAACAAATGTAATGAACAGCAATATACTGTAATTTAGTCACTATGGCATGTTCAGATGCTATTCTTTGAAATACTTGAACATCGACTGATTTGGTCTGCCTGGTACAATGGAACCAATGGAATCGTCCCAAAAGTACAATCTCCAAGCTAAGGCCTAGATTCAATCAGATCAAGAGTCAAACAGTGATAGCAGACACCCGAATAACGGATGTTTTGGCTGTCAGAAGTGAAACTGCATTGGAGCTGTCAAATCGGTGAGCAGCTGCTCTTGCGATCATTTGTCACGAAGCCTCATCCGTCCCCACTCGCTTTGGAAGTTCAGAGCGAGAAAGTGTAGGCTATATAGAAATAATTACGCTCAAATTGAAAAATCATGACACTATATAATGAGGATTTCTATCAGCCTAATTGAGGTGTAGATTCCATCTCCCATTCCAGTGTTCCAACTTGGAAACAAGGCTGCATGGGATTTCTGTTAATGTGACTCTGTGAAGCCAATGGCAATGTCTGCTTTAGGTATAATGCCTGGAGCCATCTGACAGCTCTAACAGCAGTTCCACCTCTGACACCACCAAAACAACCGCTAAGCTGATGTCGCTAAAGCGGATCTGATTGAATAGAGCACTTTATCAAGCACAGACTAGGCTATAGGAGAGGATTCTTTCCTTGTAAGAGGAAGATAAAGGTTTAACTAGATATTCTCTGTTAATCAGAAATGAACAACACAATCCCTTTACAAGTTTGGCTCTTGTCAATACTTCAATCATATCCATTTTAAAACTGAAAATTGAATGACTGGTAGTTTGGTTTGTTAGACACTAGATGGTGTTGCAAGACATTGCCTGGGCACAACTCTGTAAAGCACTACTGTAAATCTCAATGGCAAATATTTATTAACCATTAGTCCTGTTTAGTATTTAATTAAACAATTGCTATGCCATTTATTAAAGCCAATCTGTATGTAGAAGCCATTTTCTGATTTTAAGTTGGAGTAATGTGTTGTCACGGCGACGCTGAAAATTTTTCTACATTCCAATGCAATATGAACACATTGCAACATTACTGACCGTACATCTGAGGTATAAGTGTCAAAGCAATATTGTCATCAACAATGATTTGCTATAATGTTGAGCTTTGTATTTATCTCATATTGTGTGTTATTCATTCTTGATGGTTTTCATTAGGTTTCAATGTATTATTTGAGGCAGTACAATAAATGAATAGGAATAGTATTTGTTGTATAGTTTGCTGTGAGAAACATATTTTAAAATATGAATTGCTGGCAGGATGATCATAATATATAAGACCTCTCTGTGAGAATACAGACTCTGGGGACAAAACGTTATCTACATATGATGCATTTGTAACAGCTACATAGAGCATTATTAAAGCTTTACAATGCATTAAACTTGGAAGATGTATGCCACAAATGCTAAACTATTGTTTGCTTATGAACGTGTTACGTGAATGGTTACATTCTAATCATACAATCAAATCTATATTCTAATCATACACCATGCATCTTACTCTGCTGCTTCTATCAGGTGAGGGAAATGAGCAATTGTCAGTTCTTGGAAGAATTCTGTTTGAACTTTAACCTTCAGTGGTGTTGACCTGTAGTCCTGTGTACTGATGCAAATCAATACATACCACTGTCTATAAATGATTGTTCACCCTTCCCCTGTTCTCAGTGACATGATATTCATCACATACTTGCAGCTTGATCTTGCATTTCCCAGACACATTAAGCAATCTATTCTCTGCTTCTAGCTTTTTTCTCTCCATCCTTGCAAAGGTACTACAGTGTACTACTGTTATTGTTGCATAACATTTGATGAAAACAGATTAAATCAACATATTGCTCAGCAATCTGTAGATCTCCTGAGCTGGATAACTAAGCAACATATATATATACACACTACCGGTCAAAAGTCTCATTCAAGGCTTTTTCTTTTTTTTACAATTTTCTACATTGGAATGCTTTTCCAACAGTGTTGAAGGAGTTCCCACATATGCTGAGCACTTGTTGGGTGCTTTTCATTCACTCTGCGGTCCGACTCATCCTAAACCATCTCAATTGGGTTGAGGTCGGGTGATTGTGGAGGCCAGGTCATCTGATGCAGCACTCTCCTTCTTGGTCAAATAGCCCTTACACAGCCTGGAGGTGTGTTGGGTCATTGTCCTGTTGAAAAACAAATGATAGTGCCACTAAGCCCAAACCAGATGGAACTGCGTAACTCTGCAGACTGCTGTGGTAGCCATGCTGCTTAAGTGTGCCTTGAATTCTAAATCAATCACAGACAGAGTCACCAGCAAAGCACCCCCACACCATGACACCTCCTCCTCCATGCTTTATGGTGGGAAATACACATGCAGAGATCATCCGTTCACCCACACCGTGTCTCATAAAGACACGGTGTGGGTGAACTCCAGACCAAAGGACACATTTCCTCCGGTCTAATGTCCATTGCTCGTGTTTCTTGGCCCAAGCAAGTCTCTTCTTCTTATTGGTGTCCTTTAGTAGTGATTACTTTGCAGCAATTCGACCACGAAGGCCTGATTCACACAGTCTCCTCTGAACAGTTGATGTTGAGATGTGTTGTTACCTGAACTCTGTGAAGCATTTATTTGGGCTACAATTTCTGAGGCTGGTAACTCTAATGAACTTATCCTCTGCAGCAGAGGTAACTCTGGGTCTTCCATTCCTGTGACGGTCCTCATGACAGCCAGTTTCATCATAGCGCTTGATTTTTGCGACTGCACTTGAAGAAACGTTCAAGGTTCTTGAAACTTTCCATATTGACTGACCTTCATGTCTTAAAGTAATGATGGACTGTCGTTTCTCTTTGCTTATATCATTTTTTTTGCGCACTAAGATTAGTTGGGAATGTGTGCCTTGCTTCTCCATGTGGAGTGAACTTACCATTGGAAGAATGTCAGTCAATACAGTGAGTATATTATAGGTGGCCTACATCTACCACCTATAGCAATAGAAGGAAATCAACAGTGCCAGAGGTCCTTGGAGCCAAACCGACACCACTGTGGAAGGATTTCTTCCTCTGCCCCAAACTCTTCATTAGGCTGAGGGAAGGGAAGGGAGTTTGGGTTGCATGATGACAGAAGTGCTAATGCTATGACCATGGGACACGACTCATACGCCTTATTCTCTCTTTATATCAGCAGTAAACGAGAAGAAAAAAGTTGTCATATGACCAACAGGAAGGAAGGCTGGATACAGGGGACCATAGATTCCTTCACTATTCATCAGCATATCATAACAAACTCAGTGTGTTGTTGAGGTGTGTGTTAAAGGAGAAGACCCCATGAAGACTAGCAGACCTCAGGAAGACCCATGTAGACTCCTTTGGACCCCATGAAGAATAGCAGACCTCAGGAAGACCCATGTAGACTCCAGTGGACCCCATGAAGAGTAGCAGACCTCAGGAAGACCCATGTAGACTCCTGTGGACCCCAAGGAAGACTAGCAGACCTCAGGAAGAGCCATGTAGAATCCTGTGGACCCCAAGGAAGACTAGCGGACCTCAGGAAGACCCCTGTAGAATCCTGTGGACCCCAAGGAAGACTAGCGGACCTCAGGAAGACCCCTGTAGACTCCTGTGGACCCCAAGGAAGACTAGCGGACCTCAGGAAGAGCCCTGTAGACTCCTGTGGACCCCAAGGAAGACTAGCGGACCTCAGGAAGACCCCTGCTTCTCTCCTCTGGTAACCCCTCCTTTCCTTACCTTTCCTCATCTTCTGACCCGCCCTTTAATCTCTTTACCCTCCATCACCTGTGCTCTCGTCACCTCCCCTTTCATCCTCCTCTCCTCACCTCCGCTTTCATCCTCCTCTCGTCACCTCCACTCTCATCCTCCTTTCCTCACCTCCCCTTTCATCCTCAGCTCCTCACCTCCCCTTTCATCCTCCTCTCCTCACCTCCGCTCTCATCCTCCTCTCCTCATCTCCGCTCTCATCCTCCTCTCGTCACCTCCACTCTCATCCTCCTCTCCTCACCTCCCCTTTCATCCTCCTCTCCTCACCTCTCCTTTCATCCTCCTCTCCTCACCTCCGCTCTTATCCTCCTCTCCTCACCTCCGCTCTCATCCTCCTCTCCTCACCTCCCCTTTCATCCTCCTCTAGTCACCTCCGCTCTCATCCTCCTCTCCTCATCTCCCCTTTCATCCTCCTCTCGTCACCTCCGCTCTCATCCTCCTCTCCTCACCTCCCCTTTCATCCTCCTCTCCTCACCTCCCCTTTCATCCTCCTCTCCTCACCTCCACTCTCATCCTCCTCTCCTCACCTCCCCTTTCATCCTCCTCTCCTCACCTCCCCTTTCATTCTCCTCTCCTCACCTCCCCTTTCATCCTCCTCTCCTCACCTCCCCTTTCATCCTCCTCTCCTCACCTCCCCTTTCATCCTCCTCTCGTCACCTCCACTCTCATCCTCCTCTCCTCACCTCCCCTTTCATCCTCCTCTCCTCACCTCTGCTCTCATCCTCCTCTCCTCACCTCCCCTTTCATCCTCCTCTCATCACCTCCCCTTTCATCCTCCTCTCGTCACCTCCACTCTCATCCTCCTCTCCTCACCTCCCCTTTCATCCTCCTCTCGTCACCTCCACTCTCATCCTCGTATCATCTACTCACTGCAGGATGAGAGGGGCCTTTGGCTCTGAGGACCATTGGGTCTGTTGTGGCATCCCTCAGAGGCAGACTCCCACAACACAAACATTTTGAGTTAAGTACTGTCCTGACTCTTGTCTCTGTTTAGTGTTAGCAGTATAGTCATGGAACCCACAAACCTGAACAGCAGTAAATATTGCAGATTGAACCTTCAAGTTCTGCGAGACATTTCTGTCTCTGATGGCTCATTATGCTTTCATAAAAGAGTGCATGCTAGTGAGGGCAGTTAAATGGCCTGCATGCACTCCGGGTGCTTGTGTATTTGACATTACCTTGTGTTGAGTACTCATGGTGGCTGTG